CCCATCAGCAGACGAATGGATGAGGAAGCTGTGGTACATATACACCATGGAATATTACTCAGCCATTAAAAAGAATTCATTTGAATCAGTTCTAATGAGATGGATGAAACTGGAGCCCATTATTTCATATTATATTAATATGTCCCTCTTGATCCCTGGCTAAAGGAAATGTTAGCTGTTCAGTCGTGTCTGGCTCTTTGTAGCCCCACAGACTGCAGTCCTCCAGGCTCCTCTGTCCATGAGATTCTCCAGGCAAGAATGCTGGAGTGGGTTGCCATTTCCTTCTCCAGGGGATTTTTCCTGATCCAGGGACTGAACCTGCACCTCCTCCATTGGCAGGAGGGTTCTTTACCACTAGCATCAGCTGGGAAACCTGGGCTAGAGGAAGGCCCATCCTTTTTTGAAATCCACAACTCTGGTATTCCTGGTCACGTCCAGTTCTGGTTGTCACACAGCTGGTGTAGACGGATCTGGAAGACGGAGCTGACAGCTCACAAAGAGCAGCTCCCCTGGGCGGCCTGGCTCTCGCAGTCTGGGAGTGCACAGCTCCCCCCGCCACTCACACACACACACACACACACACACACACACACACACACACACAGAGTCTCCACCCCACACATGCCCTATGTGCTGTGTCTGCTAAGTGGGACCCTGTCCTTTGCGTTCACTCCCCCCAGCTGCTCTCCTGGAGCTCACACACTTGGCCAGGAGACAGGAGGACAGGTGTCAGGCTCGCCCCACCACTAGGGCCAGCCCAGGTACCCCATGGGGCTCACCACTGCCTAGCAGGCACCAGGCACTGAGCTAGGTGAGGGGGCTCGTGTGATGCAAATGACAAGGTCTCTCCCTGAGAGAGCTTTGGATCTAGCTGCAGAGGGAGTTAGAGGTAAGTCTTGAGTAAAAATACCCATTAATTACTTATAGTTGAGGACAGTGCTGCCTTGGATCTGGCTGGGGAAAACCATCATTGGTTCCGGCATCATTTGGTGCTGGGTTTCAGGACACTTGTGTGGCTCCTCCCTGCCTCTTGGGTCATTCCGTCTCACTCTCTCTGCTCCCATGTGTCCCCCCTGCAGTGGGCTGCTGTGGGTGCTGTCCAGGCCTCAGACGGGTGAATCTGAAAAGTAAAAGATACTTAAATCCTTTCACTTCATAGAGCCTCTGTGGTCCCTGAAAGCAAATATGTAAGTGGGCATCTGGGAGGGGGCGCTTGCTTTACAGCCGGGCCATAAGATGTCCTCTTTGGGTAGAGATCGCCCCAAGCATCCACTGAAGGCCTCCCCTTCCTCGGCAGAAGACTGCAAGCACTGGTTTATGCTACTCCCTTGAAGTCCCCACCAAGATGTCAAAGTTCAGCCAAATTCAGCCTAGGTCCTTGCAATGCAATCACATTGAAACATGAGGGAAGGGGGCAGGGCACAATCTTTAAAAGAATGACAGAGCCCCAAAGCCGACAGAAACTGATTAGAACCAAATAGGTCCAACATCACAGAGAAGCTGACTTTCACCAGACTCTGAGCCTTAGTATACGTGCATCTTAACACATCGGCAAGTTAAGGACACACCCACAGGCGCCCTGACAGTTCTAAGCGAGTGAAAGTTGCTCAGTCATGTCCGACTCTTTGTGACCCTGTGGACTATACAGTCCATGGAGTTCTCCAGGCCAGAATACGCCTATCCCTTCTCCAGGGAATCTTCTTGACCCAGGGATTGAACACAGGTCTCCCACATTTTGGGCAGATTCTTTACCAGCTGAGCAACCAGGGAAGCCCAAGAATACTGGAGTGGGTAGCCTATCCCTTCTCCCAAATTGAACCAGGGTCTCCTGTGTTGCAGGCAGATTCTTTATGATCTGAGCTAGCAAGGAAGCCCAAGACTGCTCTAAGACTGACCACAAAGGTCAAAAGGTGGGTGGTGGTTCAATTCCTGGAAAGTCCCATGCCTTTTTCCAAATAACAAGAATTCTCCTCCCACTCATTAGCCTATGAAGTTACCCATCTCTATAAAAACCGACAACACCAGAGCCTGGGGCCGCTCTTACTTTTTGAGATGGCTCACACTCTGTCTGTGAAGTGAAAGTTTCTCTCTAAATAAATCTATTTCTTATCTATCACTTTGTGTCTTGTTGAATTCTTTCTGTGATGAGACATCAAGAACCTGAGCTTCTGGACTTCCCTGGTGGCCTAGTGATTAAGACTTTGCCTTCCATTGCAGGAAGTGTGGGTTCAGTCCCTTGTCCAGGTGCTAAGATCCCACATGCCTCAGTTCAGTTCAGTTGCTCAGTCATGTCTGACTCTTTGTGACCCCATGAACCGCAGCACGCCAGGCCTCCCTGTCCATCACCAACTCCCGGAATCCACCCAAACCCACATCCATTGAGTCGGTGATACCATCCAACCATCTCATGCTCTGTCGTCCCCTTCTCCTCCTGCCCTCAATCCTTCCCAGCATCAGGGTCTTTTCCANCACTTATCTTTGAAGGAAAAGGGATCAAGTTGATGCTTCCAAGAAGGACTCCATAAGTAACAAGCACATCATAGACTTACAGAGGTCAAGAAAGGATCCACAACTGTGATACAAGAAATAAAATGGTGAAATAAAAAAGAAGTGACTATAAAAAGGAACCAATTAGAAATGAAAAAGAGAGTTCATGAAATTTTAAAACTCAATAGAGAAATTGACCAGGATGCTGGACAAGGCGGAAGAGCGAAAATTGAGAACACAAAGATCAAACAGAACCGAGCCAGACAGAGATAGGAGATTTAAAAATATGAAAGAAAAAGTTGAAAGACAGGAAACGCGACTCCAAAAGCTCTAAAATAGGTCTGATCGGAGCTCACAGAGAAGTCGGTACTTGAAGAGATAACAGCCGAGAATTTCACAGAACTTAAATAAGACATGATTCCCTGGATCTAAAAATTCTACCAAGTGTTAAGCAGGATAAATTAAAAAAAAAAAAAAAAAAGGAACCTGAGCTTCATTAAGTTCTGAAACCAGGCATGATCTCAGTCAAAAGGTCAAGATTCAAGTCTCAATCTGGGTTTTGGCTGAGTTCCAGTCCCGGCCCATGGGTTCAACTCCCAATGTGAGTTACACAGTTTCAATATCAATGATACAATCATATTGGTGATGTGAGAATATTAATCCAGGCTGCCATGCAGTAAATCTCCTATGGCTCTAAAAATCAAATCTGCAAAGCATGATGTACAGTTTATCCCTAGTCTTCCCACAAACACTGCAAAGATCTCTCAGGATTCTTCCCCATGCCTGCCTGGAGCCCCACATGCCTATTGCTACTTCATGTGGAGTCTTGGCCATCGTATCATGAACTGCCAGCCCGGGGTAGCCCATGGTACCTGTTGGGTGTGTGGCCCCCTTCAGCTGTGACCTGAGGGTCAGCGCTGGGCAGGGAACCAGGGGCAGTGGGCCCAGTGCCTCAACGGACATCCCTGATGTGCACCCTCCAAGACACACAATTACACCTCCCAGCTGCTGATTTCTAGGAGATGCTAAGCGTAGGATCGTATAACTCATCCTCAAACTGAGGAAACTTTGAGAGCCAAAGGGACATCGTTAATAGTTTTGCCAGGACAGCGGACAGAAGTGACATCCATCAGCCTGCCCACTGCACAACCTGCTGTCACCTCCCACCAGCCGAGGAGGCTGTGAGACCTGAGATTCAGAAGGAAGGGTCAGGCACTGAACATTTCTAAGGGAACCTGGTCGACCTGAGTTTTATGTGGACAAAACCAAGGAGGACCTTGTGGGGCTCTTGGGCAGGGAAGCACTTTTTATCCCCCATTTCTTGCAGCAGGACTCCAGCCTCCACGACCTTCCCTGAGTTGCAAAGGGCCGATTGGACCTGTTACTAATCAGGGGAGGAGCAGGCAAGAAGCCACCTGAGGCAAGACTGAAGGGGCCAGAGGGGCTCATCAAGGCTACGAGACCAACACCTGAGACCCCGCACACACCCTAATGCTGTCAGCAACCCCAGCCTTGAAAGTGAGTGTGTTAGTCGCTCAGTTGTGTCCAACTCTTCGCAGTCCCCTGGACTTGTAGCCTACCAGGCTCCTCTGTCATGGGATTCTCAGGCAAGAATACCGGAGCGGGTTGTCATTTCCTCCTCCAGGGGATCTTCCCAACTCAGGGATCGAACCCAGGTCTCCTGCATTTCAGGCAGCTTCTTTATCATCTGAGCCCTCAGAAAAGTCCCCCAACCTTGAACCGTCACTCTAAAATGCTCATCAAATCCTCCTGGGTTGAGACCCACAGATATTGGGGGTAGGAGCCCTGGTATCCCACCCTGCCTGGCAAAGCAATAAAGCCCTTTTCTACTTCACCCAGAACTCTGTCTCTGAGATGCAACTCAGCACAGGTGCACGGAGGCTGAGATTTTGGCATCACGATGGGGAGGGTGGAATCTGTTCCCAGCAGTCCTGGCAGCACCTCCGCCAGGTAGACTGTGACGGGGAGGCGAAGAGAGTGTATCCCCACCCCAACCGCACTGCCCAGCCACTGGGGTCACCCTGGGGTCACGTTTCTTCTCACCAGGAAGGGGGCAGGACCCACGGCTGGTCCTTGCAGCCTGTCATT